TTGTACATGAAGATAATTGTAAGTGTCAAAAAGCCTATATTAGCCAAGAGTTATTCTCCAAAATTTATATTGCAGTCATTTTAATTTAGTCTCCTTCCTTACTGGGAAAGCATCTGTAAGAGTAGTACAAGAAACATTTCATTAAATTCACTGGTTTTAAATTTCATTTTGTTGTAAGCAGAAAATAATTTGGATTCCATCTACCAAGAAAGCAATTCAAAACGAAAACTTTAAAGTACAGATATTAATGAGTCACATCTCTCATAAAAGCACAGTAACTCTGAGGATCAGTAAATTAGATAAGTTTTTCATAGAAATGAACATAAATCTTTTTTTTGGCACTGTGAAATAGTTACAACAAAGGATCAAATACCACAGAATTGTTATTTTCTAGGTTTTGTTTTTCTTTTTGAGTTCAAAAGTAAAGTGTATCTTGACTTCAAGTTTAGTTGTTCATTTCAGAGCTGTAATACCAGAATTAAGAAAATTAATTAAATGTCCTGATTGTCTTTACACCTTCCCCTCATTGTACTTTTTTACTTCTTTAATCTTTGCTTTGGAAACTCCCAAACATCTTCATATAAACATTACTTTCTTTCTTTCTTTTTTTTTTTTTTTTTGTTAAATTTTAATGTTTACTTTTGAGAGAGAAAGAGAGAGCATAAATGGGGTAGGGGCAGAGAGAAAGAGGGAGACACAGAATCTGAAGCAGACTCCAGGCTCTGAGCTGTCAGCACAGAGCCCAGTGTGAGCCTCAAGCTCATTAGCCAGGGGATCATGACCTGAACTGAAGTCAGACAACTAACCGACTAAGCCAACCAGGCACCCCTAAACATTACTTTTCTAAATGGATTGAGGGTGTTGCAAATAGAGATTAACGTATTAAAAAGAATTTTAAAATGAAAATCAGGGATTAATGGAATGAATATTAATTAATATTAATTTAAAAACATACTGTATTTTTATCGTTCACTTCATCTACTCAAATGTTAGTTCATGTAGGGCAAGAAAGCTGTATTTGGTAATAAGAGGATATGACACAACTAACATTACAGGAGCTTGAAAGAATACTTAGTATTGTTATTTAGAGTAAAATGAAGGCATTGTAAGCATAGAGATGACCACAGACATGTAGATACTGATGTAGTTGAGCTATTTGGACTAAGAAAGACCTCATTCATTGACCAGACTAGAAGAAGATTGGTTATTGGTATGGGCCTTTGATAATAGTAGAAAGTAAGAATATATTTTGTCATGTAACAAACTACCCCAAAACTTGGCAATGTAAAACAACAAACAGTTATTATCTCTTAATTTCTGTAGGTTAGGAATTTGGGAGCAATCTGTGTGGATGGTTTTGGCTTAAGTTCTCTCATCAGATTGTAGTCAAGACTTTGACTGAGATTGCAGGCCTTTGAAAGCTTGACTGCAGTTGGAGTATTTGCTTCTAATATTGCTTACTTACATGGCTGGTGACAGACGACCCCAGTTACTCACCATATGGAGTTCTCTGTAGGGCAGCTAGTATATCCTCAGGACATGGCTCAGAGAGCGTGGTCTGAGAGGGAGAAGTCACAAAGCAGAAGTCACAGTCTCTTTTGTGACCTAACCATGTATCAAAATCCATCATTTCTACCATACTGTATTTGTTAGAAACAAATTACTAAATAAACCCACAAAGGACATTTACAAAATCTTTTTTAATGTTTATTCATTTTTGAGAGACAGAGATAGAGTGAAGTCAGGGGAGGGACAGAAAGAGAGAAAGGTACAGAATCTGAAACAGGCTCCAGGCTCTTTAGCTGTCAGCACAGAACCTGACACGGGGCTCGAACCATGAGATCATGACCTGAACTGAAGTCGGATGCTCCATTGACTGAGCCACCTAGGCACCCCAGATATTAAAAATGCTGAAGTTAAGGTGGGAGAGGTCAGAGTGACATCTGAAATAGACAAGGATTAGGATTCCAAGAAGACGAGTTATATTAAAATGTTGGGAGTGCATGCAGAAAGGATCTGTTTCCAAAAACATAAACTTTTAGGAAAATGGTAAGACTAATAGTCATTAGAAATTAGACTTAGACATAAAGATGGTTATAAAAAGACTCTAAACAAGATTTTTCTCCCGAAAGGTAAGCCGTTATCATCTCTAGCCTTGGGAATTAGACATTTGGGATCTTAATACTAATAGTACTGTTATTGGTAATACCAGTGGCAGTGAATGGAAGAATGATTGAACTGTGTATATATGCAGTTACCATACTTAGTAGTCTCTGTAGTATTTGGGTTTTTTTCTTTTTAATTTATTTATTTTGAGGGAGGAAGGGAAAGAGAAAGAGAGAGAGAAAGTCCCAGGCAGGCTCTGCTTAGCTCTGTGCAGAGCCATACTAAGGGAGCCTGACACAGGACTTTAATCCCATGGCAATGAGACCACGACCTGAGCCAGTATCAAGAGTTGGACTATCAAGGGGCACCTGGGTGGCTCAGTCAATTGAACGTTTGAGTTCGGCTCAGATCATGATCTCTCAGTCCATGAGTTTGAGCCCCGTGTCGGGCTCTGTGCTGACAGCTCAGATCCTGGAGCCTGCTTTAGATTCTGTGCCTCCCTCTCTCTCTGCCTGCTCATGCTCTGTCTTTCTCTCAAAAATGAATAAATGTTAAAAAAAAAATTTAAGAAAAAGTTGGACTATTAAGGGTCTGATGCTCAACCAACTGAGCTACCTAGGAGCCCATAGTCTTTGTAGTTTTTCATTAGCACACCATACCCATACATTTTGTCCTCATGCTGCTTTCCTAATATTGTGTAATAAAAAAAAGTTAACCTGTTTTTTAACTTTGTAGGTTTGAGGGGGGAAGGGTGGTTAGGACTGATTTTTGCAAGGGTAATACAGTGAGAATAAGTGTAACAGACCTTTGGGAAAGTAAAGTGATATGATTTGAATATTTTGCAATGGCTGTTTTATTTTTGCTGTTATCGTTTGTTTTTATTTGGTCAACCCAGTGGAAGACAAAGTGTATGAACTTATAGTTCACAGAGGTGGAAAGTTGGGCAAGGATATGAAACAGTAATTTATGGAATAAATTGTTAATATCTAATAATACAAAAGATGTATATTACTCCTTTTCCAGAAATTTAACTTCTAGCTATAAAAACAGTGTCATAGATTTAGATTACCATATCGTAACATCAGATACACAGTAGTTAAAAAAATATTTACTTGCTTTACCACATGTGACACTTTCTAGTATTTTCTAAACCCTTTGTTTTTGTTCACTAAATAAATTTATTTCATAAAGTGCTAATAGGTAGTTATACACTCTTTAAAAACACTACCCTATGTAAACTTTCGTCATGTGCACAAGGAAGCATAGACAAGAATGTTTATGGTATTCATTGTCAATAAAAGCAAAAACCTGGAAACAAATGTCTGCCAATGAGAAAATCATAAATGACTCATAATAATTTCTCCATATACAGAAAGGAAAACTGAACATTTTTGGAGAGGATACCTATAAGATGCTATTTATGTAAATTTTTAAAATATGTAAAACTATATATATGAAGTTAAAGCATAAAGATATAGAAGGGAACATTTATGGAAGGTTTAGAAGGTGCCAGACATAGTTCTTATTAAGTGATTTCATTCTCACAGTAACTCTGAGCTCTAAGCTATGTACAGTTTTTACAGTTATCTTAAAAATGATAAAATCTAAGAAAGAGGGAAGTAACTTGCCTAAAACTACATAGCTAGTAAGTAGTGGAGTTAGGACTTGAACTTAGTGTGTCTTGCTTGAGAGTCTGTACCATTAGCCTGTGCAGTAGAATCTCTCCATAAGAAAAACACATTAAAAATATATTAGAAGACTAAAGATTGTGATTCAGTAGTATGGCTTTGAAAGAGGAAATTTCTCACATTTTCATTCTTGAACAATGACAGGGACTTAGAAAGAACTGAGATTTATTAAAGCAGAAATCTAAATACCAGAATTCTGTTTTATGAATTCTCTTCTGTCACAAAAGAGATACTAAGAAAAGCTCCTGAATAAACATTAAAATTCTAGCTAAATTATTGCTAGATTAACAATTAATTGACAGATGATTGCTTTTTATAAATTGGAGAATTAAAAGTTACCTAAAATTTTAACTTACTTATATATGGTAAATGAGAAACCTTAAAGATCATACTACAAAAGAAAGTTAAGATTTATCTTACTATATTTAATATGATTTTTTAAAGCTATAGCTAATAACCTGTTAAAAGATAAGGTAAAAATATTAAAATTGTATTTGTTTGTGGTTCACATTTTAGAGTAGGAAAATCAACCCAGGAGTGTTTAAATGTTTAGATGTTTAAAGTGAGATGAAAAGCCACCTGGGCATGGTGCCAGAAACCTGACTTTTGGTACACTTCACAGTTTAGTTACCGAGATTGTTCCCATTGTGACTAAATGTGAATTATTTGGGAAATTACTTCAGGGTTTTGGTTTTGTAAACTGTTGTACATTTTCAAATTATACAAGCTTTTATAATTTTCCCTTATAGATACTAATTTGTGTTTTGTTCATACTTATTTTCTCTTAATTCAGTAGATGTATGTAGCTTAGAAAGATTCACAATTTTTTAGAGAAGCAATTTTTGAGTTCTATATTACCCTGTATTAAGATGATAGTATGCTGGTTTTCTTAGACTTAACAGGTTTCTTGACTCCATAATAGTTGTGAGGCTTTCAGAATGCTCCAAGTTTTCTAGTCCAATGAAAATAGAATCAAAATTAGATGACTTCCAGAAGCATTTTTTATTCAGTTTGGTATTGGCAATTTTTATTTTATAGAAGACATCTAAAAAACAGAATATACTAAAACTGGAGGATTTTTGAGAGTGCAGATATAAATACAGTATTAGGAATAATGTTAATATTTATTACTTGCTGAAAGTGAGTATGAAGTACATTCTAGCTATGGCTATTAATTTGATGTTTATCTGTTTTCTTCTCCTCTAGTGATGCTATTGCTGAGATTAGAGCCATTTGTATTGAAGAAATTGGAGTATGGATGAAAATGTATAGTGATGCCTTCCTAAATGACAGTTACCTAAAATATGTTGGCTGGACTCTTCATGATAGGGTAAGTTATTGTTTCAGACTTTGATAGAAGATATGCTTGTCTGAGTACTAGAATGTTAGGAATTAAGATGGCATTAGTTGAGTTTTTAAGAATTGTAAGAATATGGAAATTTAAGATGATACGCCTAAATAATTGTTCACTTGATGGCCATGATAAAACTTGAGACCTTGGACCATGTGGAAATTCTGTCTTAAGTTATACCATCGTAAACCAAGTTGACAACCTAGTACATCTAAAATTTTAAGAGAATATACAATACCAAGAAGCTAATTATAATCTTTTTCTAGCTTGGAATCAAAAGAGATTCCTTGTTTCTCTTAATATGCAACAACAAAACACCTTTTTGTTTTGAATTTGTTAAAGTTATATGACAGTATTTTATCAGAGTTGAATAGATTTGTTGGATTTTAGAATATTTGATCTAAAAACCTATTTTTACTTTTGTGGCCCTAGAAACGGCTCTCATTTTAAAAGGAATCCCACATTACTGAATATTGAATAAGTAATCCTCAAAATAACCAAGGGGAGGAGTGACAAATTATTGGAATTTTTATATTGAATGACCTGATATTCTATAACTTTAATGGCCAGATATTCACAAATGGAGAAATCTTATGACCGTTTATCTTAAATTTTTAAATTCAATTATATTCTTAGACTTTTAAGACAATTTTGGTAATATTCTAAGATTTATTTTCTATATATTACCATTACTAGCCTGTAGGGCATTTACTTTTTATTTTTTATTTTTTTTTAATGTTTTATTTATTTCTAGGAGAGAGAGAGAGACAGCGTGAGCAGGGGAGGGTCAGAGAGAGAGGGAGTCACAGACTGAAACAGGCTCCAGGCTCTGAGCTGGCAGTCAGCACAGAGCCCGACGCGGGGCTCGAACCCACGAACCGCGAGATCATGACCTGGGCGAAAGTCGGACGCTTAACCAACTAAGCCACCCGGGCGCCCCGGGCATTTACTTTTTAAATAAAAGCGTGTTAAATATTACCAAAGATAATTTGAAAACCACAAAATTACATATATTATAATAAAACAGCCAAGGCGAATTTTACAGGCCATTTTTGTTATAAGAAATAGTTCAGAATGTAGGGAGATCATCACAAGTTGATTGTTCAACCCCACAATTACTAATTTTTAATTGATGATAATAAGTTTTTATCCCCTGCCTTATTTGAATACCCAGTTAGTACACAGTGAATTTAGTCCTGAATATTTATCTTCGCTAGCAATTCAAAATCCTTTTCTCTACATGAATAAATCCCATGTTTGATCCTATGTTCTCTTCTAATCCTCATGTGGAATTTGGGACTTTCACAGCTAAGCCTCATCTCAGGCTTATCCAATTAAATTTTATGCGTTGTGAGAGAAAGTAGAACTGTACAGTGTATCTTCACAAGCATACACACGTGGCTAAATCCAAGACAAACTTTTTAGTAAGACTAAATTTGAAGTCTTGTATTTTTATTTCCCACCACTACCATACCTGTTGTCCTTCTTCTCCTACCTCCTCCTATCTCCCTAATATAGAGTATCCTACTAAATTTGAATAACAGTAAAATTGCCAGTTTTTTTTTTAAAATATTTTACTTATTTTTGAGAGAGAGATAGAGACAGCATGAGCAGGGGAGGATCAGAGAGAGAGGGAGGCACAGAATCCGAAACAGGCTCCAGGCTCTGAGCTGTCAGCACAGAGCCCAATGCGGGGCTCGAACCCACGAACCGTGAGACCATGGCCTGAGCCGAAGTCGGACGATCAACTGACTGAGCCACCCAGGCGCCCCTAAAATTGCCAGTTTTAACAGAATTTCTGTAGGACTGCACATTCTGAGAAAAACCTATTTGTTGGGGCTTACCGGAACACAAACCACCATTATTTTAAAATAAATCCCAAAACCATGTTTATAGAAGTTTTCTGTCCAGATAAAGGAAGAGGTGGGGGAGATTTGTATGTTGTTGATAAAATGATATAAGGATACTGTTTTCTTTCTTTTTTTTTTTACAAATAGTTTATTGTCAAATTAGTTTCCACATAACACTCAGTGCTCATCCCCACACGTGCCCTCCTCCATGCCCACCCCCCCCAACATCCATCAGTCCTCAGTTTTTGTCAGCATTCAAGAGTCTCTCATGGTTTGCCTCTCTCCCTTTCCCCCACCATTTCCCCCCTTCTTCTCCCCCTTGGTCCTCCGTCAAGTTCCTCCTAATCCTCCTATACATGCAAACATATGATATTTGTCCTTCTCTGCCTGACTTATTTCACTCAGCATAACACCCTCAAGGTCCATCCATGTTGCTACACATGGCCAGATTTCATTGTTTCTCATTGCCATGTAGTATTCCATGATATAGATAAACCACATCTTCTTGATCCATTCATCTGTTGATGGACACTTAGGCTCTTTCCATGTTTTAGCTATTGTGGAGAGTGCTGCTATGAACATTGGGGTACATGTGCTCCTATGCCTCAGCATTTCTGTATCCCTTGGGTAAATTCCTAGCAGTGCTATTGCTGGGTCATAAGGGAGTTCTATTGTTAGTTTCCTGAGGAACCTCCACACTGTTTTCCAGAGGGGCTGTACCAGTTTACATTCCCACCAACAGTGTAGGAGGGTGCCCGTTTCTCCACATCCTCGCCAGCATCTAGAGTTCTCTGATTTGCTCATTTTAGCCACTCTGACTGGCGTGAGGTGGTATCTCAGTGTGGTTTTGATTTGTATTTCCCTGATGAGGAGGGATGCTGAGCATCGTTTCATGTGTCTGTTGGCCATCTGGATGTCCTCTTTGGAGAAGTGTCTGTTCATGTCTTCTGCCCATTTCTTCACTGGGTTGTTTGTTTTTCGGGCGTGTAGTTTGGTGAGTTCCTTATAGATTCTGGATATTAACCCTTTATCTGATATGTCATTTGCAACTATCTTTTCCCATTCCGTTGGTTGCCTATTAATTTTCTGGGTTGTTTCCTTGGCTGTGCAGAAGCTTTTAATCTTGATGAGGTCCCAACAGTTTATTTTTGCTCTTGATTCCCTTGCTTTTGGGGATGTGTCAAGTAAGAAGTTGCTGCGGTGGAGGTCAAGGAGGTTGTTTCCTGCTTTCTCCTCTAGGGTGTTGATAGTTTCCTGTCTCACGTTCAGGTCCTTTATCCATTTTGAGTTTATTTTTGTGCATGGTGTGAGAAAATGATCTAGTTTCATTCTTCTGCATGTTGCTGTCCAGTTCTCCCAACACCATCTGTTAAAAAGGCTGTCTTTTTTCCATTGGATATTCTTTCCTGCTTTGTCAAAGATCAGTTGGCTGTATACTTTTGGGTCCACTTCTGAGTTCTCAATTCTGTTCCATTGGTCTATGTGTCTGTTTTTGTGCCAATACCATACTGTCTTGATGATGACAGCTTTGTAGTAGAGGCTAAAGTCTGGGATGGTGATCCCTCCCGTTTTGGTTTTATTTTTCAGGATTACTTTGGCTATTCGGGGTCTTTTGTGGTTCCATACAAATTTTTGGATAGTTTGTTCTAGTTTTGAGAAGTATGTTGCTACAATTTTGATTGGAATTGCATTGAATGTGTAGAGTGCTTTGGGTAGTAATGACATCTTAACTATATTTATTCTTCCTATCCATGAGCATGGAATGTTTTTCATTTCTTTGTATTCTCTTCAATTTCCTTCATAAGTTTTCTATAGTTTCATCATACAGATCTCTTGTATAAGGATACTGTTTTCAATAGAATGTTTTTATAAACCTCTTTTATCATTTCCAGTTACTCTTTTAGAAAAGAATGTAAGTAGTGTGTGAACCCTTCCAAGCTTTCCTTTTTGTCACCCTAATGTCACTGAAATCTTACACTTTTTTCCATCTCAGGGCTATGCTTTCTCCCCTTTTTAAAAAAATTTTAGAAAATTTTTAATGCTTTATCTCAGAGAGCGAGAGACAGAGAGAGACAGCATGAGCAGGGGAGGGTCAGAGAGAGCGGGAGACACAGAATCTGAAACAGGCTCCAGGCCCTGAGCTGGCTGTCAGCACAGAGCCCAACACTGGGCTCGAACCCACGAACCATGAGATCATGACCTGAGCCAAAGTCAGATGCTTAACTGACTGAGCCACCCAGGCACCCCTAAAAAAATTTTTTTTTAATGTATATATTTGTTTTTAAGAGAGAGCTTGAGCACACAAGCAGGGGAGGGGGAGAGAGAAAGTCCCAAGTAGGTTTCACACTGTCAGCACAGAGTCTGGTGCAGGCTTCTAACTCACAGACTGCAAGATCATGACCTTTGCCTTTAGAAATCAAGAGTCAGATGCTTAGCCAGTTGAGCCACCCAGGCACCCTTGTTTTCTTTGAAAGTGCTTTTTCTGTAGGCTATGGCCTCTGCCTTCAGACTCGTCCTGTACCTTTTCAAATGAGCTGATTAAAATTCCTGTCTTTTTTTTAAGATTGCATTTTAATTATAAATTCCATTTTTTGTTTTATTGAGATATAGTTGACATAACATTGTATTAGTTTAAGATGTACAGCATAAAGATTTGATACTCCTATGTATTGATTTCAGAATATCAGTCCACATTCCTCAATAAGACAAACTTTCTTTTTAATACTGCCAATTTATGTACATTTTTATTATATAAGTTTTGACCAGTAGAAAAACAAGCAGTCTCTGAGAGTTATTTATTAGAGATTCAGTTTGTTTTTCTATTGACCAAAACTTATTTCTAAATTCTCTACCCATTGCTTTTTTAGTTCTTTCATTGATGGGGACACAGAATAGGTCTAATTTAAATACAGCTGTGGTAATCTCTGTGTTCTAGACTAAATATCCAAGTCTCTTTACATTTATGTTCATGACACTACATTACCTTTATCTTTCCTGTACAGTTGTTCAGTATTGCTCTTTATTTTTATTTATTTATTTATTTTTTTGCTTTTAGCTGTCTATAAAATTCTTCTTTCTTGCATATGCTTGATTCCTCATATCAGAATCTCTGTATTGCTTGGATGGGAT